AATTCACGCTTAAGTTACTTCAGGAGTTGTCATAGTTGATAGCTTATTCTCTCCTTCTTGTGGATAGTAGAATTAATTGCAAGTAACTATGAAGCGAGAAATAGATATGGCAAGAGGAGTATCATCATCTTTTAACTAAATGCATTAAAGTGTATGGAGAATAAAATTGACTTGAAGGTGCAGGGGATTAGCACTTACTAGTCAAATTTGCAACTTAGGCGCACTTGATATCTCCATGACATTCTTTTATGATCTAGTGAATATGAATTAGTTGTGAGTCATTACCTAATTGGGCCTAAACCTTTAAAACTTGTCTTCGAGAACTCACACATTAAGATGATTAGGAATTAGTTTATGACATTGGTCATGAACCGGTGGCTTATTATACTTAATCACATTAATGAGATGATGACAAGATAATTTGAGTAGGCCCTCTCGGGCCCACTCGCTTGTGACATCATGCTCTCGTGTGAATGACTTTGTTCGCAATGGTTGTGCACAAGTAAGTAGGAAAGCCGCAAAAGGTCATTTGTATTGGCGCATTTAGTCCACTATGTTATTTGTGACTAGATATGTGTAAGGGTATGATAGCTACGCCTCAATCTCGACACATTTATAGATTACAATACGCATCTGAGTCAAGACTATTTGATCTCCCATAAGTCAAAAGTTTTTTAGATGATTTTTGACATTGCACATATGTGGTCGAGATCAATTAGATAAGAGCTTTTGTGCTTTTAGTTTTGACCAAGGTGGCGAGTATCTATTTGAGTTATTTTTTAGAAAGCTCTGTGAAGAGAAATGGATGCTTGGAAAATTGATTATTCCTAGTACTCAACAACACAATGGTGTAGTAGAGATAAGGAATTAAGTATTGTTAATGTTAGGTGGATGATGGCGCAAAATGTTTCCCAATTGGGAATTGCACTTTAGTTTGTTGCCTATATCCCTAACTAAGTGCCCTCCATATCAGATTTTACACTCCATTTGAGTAATGGGTTAGCGGAGAGCCATCTATGGGCGATCTGTAACCATTAGGCAGCTTATCTTTATTTTACTTCTCATAAGATTGCGAAGTTAAGACTTAGGGTTCTATAGCGCATTATTGTATGCTGCCTTGTAAACACATAGGGTTATGTGGTGCATTATTGTATGTTGTCATGTAAACCCTCCGGGTCATATGCATATAGGTAAGCAGCTTTGTGGTAGTGTAACTAAGTCACATAAAGTTTTCTTAGTAAAGGTGATGTGAATAGAGTTTTGGAACTCTATAAGATAGAGAATTCTAAGCATAGCGCTTTTATGTAGCCTAGTTGAGAATGGAAAGAAATCTCCAATATCCTAGGGACAGTGGGAGCGATGTGCCTACTAATGGATTACTCCATTAGAGAATAATACTCTACATTCTTAGTTGCGTGGTAGCAAATGTGAAAATTTTCCACGTCATCACTAGGCATTTGAGAAGGAAACATTCATGATTGCTCCGCAAGATGATGAAAAGCCTAGGATAATGCCAAAGGCTCTAGTCTCCTATTTTTAGAAAGTGGATTAATGTTGCGCGATTTAAGACAAAGTCTTTGATGATTAACCATTTTTATAATTTGGTTGACTTTCCATTATGACGCGAAACTGTTCTAAAGTTATGCGTAATTTGGATAGTCATTGTTGAGGCATAAGGCTCGCTAGATACCGAAAAGTCGCACTATTGAGGAAAGTGTAGACCATGAGAAGACTTCCTCCTGGGGAGTGAGGTTATTTTGACTTAGGCTATGATTGACATAAGTTCAAAACTTTGTTTTGTGGTTGTTGTGACCCAACTTCTCGTTGGAGAATTAGATAAGTAGATCCGTAGGTGATTTGTGGACATTGTGACCCAACTTTCTCGTTAGAGAATTGGATAAGTAGATCCGTAGGGATTTACCTTCTGCTTTTATGGTGAAAAGTTAGGAGCGCAAAAAGGTTGCTAGTTCCAATAAATCTTTTACAGCCTAAAACAGTTATCCAAATAGTGGTTCTTAGATTTCTTCAAGCCATGATAGGCCAACGATGATCAATGAAGACCACTGAGGCATGATCAATGGTCCAAAAGAAGTTTTTCCTTACTTAGTCATTATGAGCCAGGAATTTATAAGGTTGTCGCCACCTAGGGTGGGCAGTCCTCTATTTTAGATATGATGGACATGGGTGATGTAATTTATATGCTCGGAGGTACCATCCTTAGAGATTGTTTTGGGAGAATTCCTGTTTTGTTTTCGATGACTTATATAAGGAATATCCTAGAACGATTCTAGATGCAAAATTGGAAACCCATGGACTTACCTATCGGTAAAAGCCAGAGCCTTAGCTATTGAGTGAATTCTCGGATTGTCTTTGAGAGAAACAGATGACCTATATTTCTTGATCTTTTCTTTGTAGTGAGAGCCTAAAGTACGCTATATGGGCGTATTTGGCATGATAAGTGTTATCTTTGGTAAATGGTCAACTGAGTTGTTTAGATATTGACCTTGCTCATTAGATTGTGAATAAAATACTTTACTAGTAATATATTAATTTGCTCATTGTAAGATTCAACGCGCTAGTTGGGCGTATCAAGAATGAACGCAAATTGGTCACCATAATATCTTTACAGAGGTTATTGCGCAAGAGGTAGTGATCTTAAATCACTTCATGTGAGGCGCACATGGTGGATTCCGTTGTATATACTTATCGCAAGAGGTGCTGATAAGGCTTATGTTTGGAATCTAGAATTGCAAGGAATATCCTAGAACGATTCTAGATGCAAAATTGGAAACCCATGGACTTACCTATCGGTAAAAGCCAGAGCCTTAGCTATTGAGTGAATTCTCGGATTGTCTTTGAGAGAAACAGATGACCTATATTTCTTGATCTTTTCTTTGTAGTGAGAGCCTAAAGTACGCTATATGGGCGTATTTGGCATGATAAGTGTTATCTTTGGTAAATGGTCAACTGAGTTGTTTAGATATTGACCTTGCTCATTAGATTGTGAATAAAATACTTTACTAGTAATATATTAATTTGCTCATTGTAAGATTCAACGCGCTAGTTGGGCGTATCAAGAATGAACGCAAATTGGTCACCATAATATCTTTACAGAGGTTATTGCGCAAGAGGTAGTGATCTTAAATCACTTCATGTGAGGCGCACATGGTGGATTCCGTTGTATATACTTATCGCAAGAGGTGCTGATAAGGCTTATGTTTGGAATCTAGAATTGCGCAAGCTGTGGTCAAATTTTTTTTTAAAATCGATCACTTATTTTGAGATGATGAGATGTTGACACTGTTAAGGTTTGTGTCATAATGATTAGCAAATGATGATGTCAGCAGGTAAGATTGGCTCACTCACACGAGCATTCGCCCTTGGCACTTGGGAGCGAGCAAGGATGGGACTAGTGGTTTATTTTTATTTGGAGCCAAGGGAGGCTTAAATAATCCACTATGCATGTCGCCTTGGTTAAAACCAAGATGAGGTCGTGTTACGGACCAAACATGGATGTTAGTGCCCACTTTCCATGTTGTGCCTGTTATGATTAGCCAGATGTGATATCTCATTTGGCGCCTAGAAGGCGAGCAAATAGAGAATTCGGGTTAGGCGCTAGAAAGCGACTAGACTAATGTCTGTACGGTGTATCGAGTATGACGTCACTCTTTTGGAAGAGTTACTCCACCGTAGCATGTATTCATACTATATGTGCTTGGTAACCGAGTAATGAGGTGAGAGAATGGATCTCTGTTTCCTCACCGTGTGAGTCTTACGTATCATTATTGATATGACTTTAATTTATGTACCCTTTTGTGACTTTTGACTATGTCATAAGGTAAGAAGTTGATGTTCTGCTAGTTTTGTATGTTGTCTGCGGTCATGTATGATTCGGCCTTAAGGGACATTACTGGGAAAGCGGTCAATCCTAAACTAAATGGCATGAGGGCAAAGGGAAGATCATCTAGTATTACACCACTGTTGTATATTCACTGCATGCAACTCACATCGCTCTGTATGAGAGGCAGATTGAGTGTGAATATATTGCAAGAATTGAGAGGGTCAAATATGCTCTTTTTGAGGGATTAGAGATGTTTTTTTTGGATCGGTGTAATTAGATGAGTCTGGGGTATATGAGACATTATTTCTGTTCTTTTTGGGTTGATGTCTCTATGTTGGCTCATTTTGAGTTTCTAGTATAAAGCTCCCACATGCAAGTGCTCTCAGCAATCGCACGGTGCATTGGCTAATATGAGATTGTTTTTTTTTTTTTTTGGAGATTGAGATAGAGATGTGGCAGTGTCATGCCAACTCATATGCGAGTGGGAGATGTTGGAAATTGGGCGCCCATGTGGCATGACCCTTTGACCCTTTTGAACCTGAACCTTTTGAACTTTATCTATGTAAGTTTGAATTTGAATTCAAAACTTATATGGATAACCATTCAGGATATCTATATCTATCATATCAATAGATATGGATAGATAGATAGATAGGTATTGGTTATATATCTGATTATATATTATTGATATATTAGATACATATAGGAGATACCTTATATGGGTTTTTTGACCCATAATCTTTTCCCAGACTCTCTCTCTGACTCTCTCCCATTAAACAACGATCAAGCCATTTTGCACTGTGACTTGTGTGGGTGATATTCATTTTGTAATATCACTTCACTACTGGGTTGATTGATGAGATTCAGAAAGCACGTGATTTACCCACGAGGTTCTATCATCTAAAGGTATGATTTAAATATTTTATCCGCTGTGATTTAATACTTTATGTTTTACATACTCATTATTATACTATTTTTTTCTTTAATTATAAATAATTTTTATTTTAATTGTGTTATTATTTTAAAATTTTTAATTATATCTCATTATGGATTTTTATTATTATTTTTTTTTTTGGTTACGATTCAAAAAATACAAATGATGCCATTTTATAATTGAAGTACGTATGATGTCTCTCTCTGTCTCTCTCTCACACACACACACACACGCACACTCACACTCCCACTCCCACTCCCACTCCCACAGCTTGAAGAAGATGTCAAGAAGAAGAGTTTCTGTTTCTTCCATTATTGGAAGAAGAAGAAGAAGAAGAAGAATTGCTGATGATAATTGTCAAAAAGGTACAATATTTCCCTCTTTAATTAATCATCCCTCTCCATTCTTATTTCTTCTGTTTCGTTCTCTCTCTACTTCTACCCGAAACCCTAGTTCTCCTCCTGTTCGATGCAGTGATCTCCAAGACGCTGTTAATACGTTCAATCGCGTGATCCAAATGCGACCTTTCCCCCCCCATTTCTCATTTCAACAAAGCTTTATGTCCTCTTTCGAAATTGGGTCATTACGGCATCGCTCTGTCTCTTATTCGGAAATTGCATTTTCTAGGCATTCAGATCGATATCTTCACCTTCAACATTGCTATTAACTGTTATTGCCGCCTGAATCAAGTCCATTTTGGGTTCTCTCTTTTGGGTACCCTCTTCAAACGCGGTTATACACCTGATGTAACTTCCTTCAACACTCTGTTGAATGGACTTATTTTGGACGATAAAACCCCTGAAGCTGTAGAATTATTTAAGAAATTAATGAGAATGGGAGAAATTGAACCCGATGTGGTTATGTATGGAACCATTGTTAATGGGCTCTGCAGAACAGGAAACACTATCAGGGCTGTTAGTTTGCTTAGGATAATGGAAGAGGGAAGCTGTAAGCCTGACATCGTAGTGTATACCACGATCATTGACAGTCTTTGCAAGGATCGAATGGTGGATGATGCTCTCAAACTCTTTTCTAAAATGGATGAAAAGGGTATTTTCCCAAATGTTGTCACTTATACTTCTTTGATTCATGGCCTATGTAATTTTGGCCGGTGGAAGGAGGCTATGGGAATGTTTAGAGAAATGTTGGATGGTGGTATTGCTCCAAATGTTCATACGTTCAGTGTTTTGCTGGATGTATGTACCAAGGAGGGGAAGATGAAAGAGGCAGAGGGGGTACTTGAAGTCATGATACAACGAGGTGTGGATCCTGATGTAGTCACGTACAGTAGTCTAATGGATGGATATTGTTTGCAAGGCCACATGGATGAAACAATCAGAGTGTTGAATACCATGGTGGAGAGGGGCCTTCACCCTAATGTTTTTAGCTATACCATTCTAATCAATGGATATTGCAAGAAAATGAAAATAGATGAGGCCATGCATCTCTTTCGAGAATTGCCTCGAAGGGGGTTGAAACCCGAGAATGCAACTTTCAATGCTATGTTACGGGGTTTGTTTCAAACAGGTAGATGTGGAGCTGCTCAAAAACTTTTTAATGATATGCAAGCTACATGCATAATTCCAAATTCTCAAACTTATGCTATCATGTTGGATGGACTGTGCAGAAACAAGAATATTTCTGAAGCATTGTCATTATTCCACATGATGGAAAGCAATGGTTTACATCTTGATATTGTTATGTATAATATCCTCATTGATGCATTTTGCAAGGATAAAAAGCTTAATACTGCAAGGGCTCTTTTCAGTAACCTTTCTTCCAAAGGATTAGATCCTAATGTTAAGACATACACTATGATGATACAAGGTCTTTGTAAAGAAGGCCTACTGCATGAAGCTAAAGAGTTGTTTGTTAAAATGGAATATAATGGTTGTTTGCCAAATGATGTCACTTACAACACTATTATCCGAGGATTTATTGGACAACACAAGTGCTATGAGGCATTAACACTCGTTGAGGAAATGGTTCAAAGGGGTTTTTCAGTAGATGCATCCAATTCTTCCGTGATCATAGATATACTCTCGACTAAAGGACAAGATCCTTCTCTCCGAGAAGTGATAAAGAAGTTCGTGCCAAAAGATAGTCATGGAATGCATGATATTGAGTAAATTTTTTAAGCTATGAAGGTAATGCTACACACATCTTAAATTATATATTATTAAGTGAAGCTTTTTGTTGTTGTTGTTGTTGTTGTTGTTATGGATTGACATGGGCTTATGCATTTCCATCAACTATTTTGGACTTGTTGCTACGTGACTTTGCAACATGTTTTCATAATTTCTATTTATGTATATCTTGTGTATAATGCCTCCTAATTCTCTCTCTCTCTCTCTCTCTCTCTGACAAAATTTTGATTCCCCTCCTTTGAATTTCCATATTGACACAGTACCAAGCAACCCCATTCAGAAGAAGCGGTGCTGACATAATTCATTAGCAAGAGCAAATACTTGTTGAATTGACAATTGTTCCTTTTATTCTAAGCTATTCAAAATTATATATATATTTTTTATATTATTCTTTTGTTATTTATTAGTACACTATATATTCTTGTGTTGACTAGAATGACTATCAGAAGTTCATCCATGGTTTGCTCCAATTGAAGGTCATGTACAGGTAGTTGACTTAATCAACTATTGAAATATTTCTTATGCTAGAAAGAAAACATGCACCATTTGGTGTATCTGTGATTTCACTGTTGGGATTAAGTATGGCTCTTCTCTTAAACTAGGATGAACATGTGGAAGGATTTGACTTTTGAAAACATTGGTTAAAATTAAATGGATAGAGAATGATCATGTAGACTTTGATTCATTTGAAGTAGTTTATATCTTTTGGCTCTTAAGTCTAGCACAATTATCTATATAATAAAGCACCTAGCTTTTTGAAAATGTACTACAATTTTGTCCTAGATGCCACTTTGAATGGTTAGGATTAACACAATCTAATGGTCTAAAAATGTCCAATGAACAAATTGTCTTTTAATGGTTGAGATTGTTTGTTTGACATGCATCCAATGGTGGAGGATTCATTTTATCCTTTGTTTGTTCTTCCAGCCCATCCCTTTCTGTTGAGCCCTCTCTCTCATTTGAATTTCAAATTTCAAACGCACATTCTCTCAGTCTCACTCTGTTTCTCTCACACACTTTCTCCATTCTCTTTTATGGTTCAATAATCAGAAGGTTTTGGATTAGACCCAGTTGGTTCATCGCTTTCAAACCCTCCAATCTCTTACCTATTTCACTCTCTCTGATTACTTTCAACAACCAACCACATGTCAACAACCACTTGAATCCATTGATTCGAAGACCCAAATTTTCAATCTACCGCTGCTACTCAACCACCACCAATCTCATCACACCCAAAACCCATCATTTTTCTTGCCGGAGCACCACCTTCCTCCGTCACCACAGGCTAAAATGCACCACCATAGGTTTCTTACAATTTTGAAGAATGCCTTGGCTCTTCGGTTCATATAATGGTGAAGCTTGGTCAGGACAGGTCGCAAATCAATGTCGAAGTTTGAATTCAAGGTCATAGTTATGGATTTCTTTTGAATTAGTTTATGATATTTAATTTTTTTTTCTTGCTGTAGGTCAAATGATTTTTGGGTTTTTGATATCATTGTTTGTAGTTTGCAGGTATAAAAACCCATCATTATTAGATTCTTTTAGCTTAGGTCATAGAGGAGCAACACCCATAGTGTAAGCACACTTGTTTTTCATGCTATTTATTGATTCTTTTGCTCATTCTCCCCTGTTCTTGCTTCCATTCACCTTGCTATGTTTATTGGGTCCGTGAGAATATATTTGGCATACTTTTTTAGATAGTGGATAATGACATATGTAGGGTTATTATTTTGGTTACTAATTCTTTGTTATTTGGTTATTGTTCAGTTGAGGGATTTTACTCTTTCCTCTCTCTCTCTCTCTTCTTCTTCTTGTTCTTCTTCTTCCTCCTCTTTTTTTTTTTCAAGGTTATTGTTCATGGTACTTGAGGTCTACGACTAAATGGTGTTGATGGTACTTGAAGTTTTTTCTATAGCTATTGTATCCATTGATGGCATTGATTGCTTTTTAGGTATTATAAGTGCTTTCAGTTTTAATTATATATTTTTTTTGTGAATTTTGGGATAATTCTATTAGATTGAGAATTTTGGGTATACTATTAGATTGCAAAGTATCTCTCTGCATGTTTGATCAACATAAATCACGTTTCAGTGTGTTTTTTGAGGTTTGACATGATGCTATCAGATTGCAAGTTTCAGGTCTGCAAATTATGTTCTTGCTTTTTCTATTAGATTGCTATAGATTGTAAATCAATTTTTTTGCTAATTATAAATGACCCATTCTAATGGCAATTTTTTTTGGGTTAAAATCGGATAAATACTTTGTGATTAAGCTTTTTCCTTTTCATTGTTATGAATGTTGTAGAGATCTCTTTGTTTTTAGTATGTTTTGCCTGTACGTTTATGCATTTAATTTTTCTTTTGTTTATTTGTATATGTGCCATAAAGGTTTAAGGTTTATAATTTTTTAATAGTTCTTTAAAGAAAACCAATTATTATAATTTTTTGTATACTATTTCTAACAGTTGAAGTGAGTTAATATGCCTTCATTGTTGTGAATAGAGATTCCTTAATTTTTGGTAAATTGCAGGGGAAACAATGCTTCAATTTGATGCTTTACTAGAGCTTACTATAGGAACCATTACCATTCAATAGGTAGGATTTAACTCAATGGGTTCAATCATGATGGAAAAAGGTTGTAATGATCAACAACACTCAATTGAATTGGTCATAATTTATGAAAACAGTAAGAAGCTTCCTAAAGTACTCTTAAATAAAAATCCTTTCTATAGCATTTCATTTGTTTCAAATTAGGGAGATGCTATGTAAAAGGTGCATATGGTATGTTTTTCATAACACTACTACAAACCTAATTTGAAACAAATGAAATGCTATAGAAAGGATTTTTATTTAAGAGTACTTTAGGAAGCATAAATCATAAAATGACACAACTTTTCTCACCACAAAAGTATAACTTTCACTTTAGGTGCACACCATAAATTCACTATGCGTAACTTTTACTACAAATTAACATAGCATAACTTTAAAAAAAAAAATCTTAACTTTCTTACGATGTGTGCCTTTTTTAGTAGTACGCTTAATAGAATTTCCCTTCAAGTTATTATTAATTTTTATGAAAATGATTGTTTGAAAGATTGGTGGTTGATTAAGATGAAAAAGTACTTCCAAAGGAAGAGAATGGTAAGACTTCCAAAGGGTGTTTTTAGTCTATTGCTTGTTTGATGATTAATTTTTTTTAGGCAGAACATTGCAAGCTTTCTTGCCTGCCTTTCCATCTTGCTGGAGTGGCAAGTGTGTTGGTTGATTTGCTATGAAGACTTTCCTTTCATATTTTATAGTGAACATGGTTGTATTGATTATATTTTTCATAATTTTTTTAGTTTGAAATTTGAAAAAAAAAAATTGGATTTTAGATTTTTATTTTTATCTTTATATTTCCAGGTGTGATTCGCTTATTTTGAAGATGCCTAAATCCACAGAGTATGAACATCTACGTTGATGACGATGATGATGAATTGTGAGTTTGTTAAGGTCACCTATATTAGGATGATTAGCTTTGTGTGTCCATGAAAGCACCGTGTCTTTTATTCATGTTGCAGTGATTTAGTACCAAAGCTAGCTTCAATTATAGTCTTTTTTTTTTTGGGATTTTGTTAATAATTGTTCTTGAAAAACTATTTTGCTTTTGGAATTCCTGTGCTTTTACTTTCATGCCTTATAACCTGTAATTTTTTATCCTATTCCGAGGTTGATTCAAGAATGTTCTTTTTTTTTCTTTTTTGTTGCTGTTGTTTTGGATTATATTGGTTGTATTCACTTTATTGGTTTGATTTTTTTATCAAGTTCGTACCTTGCTATTCTATTGACAAAAAATAATTGCAAGTTAGTGATTAACTTTATAAATATTAATAATTAAAATCATAAAATTTTTCACCTGTGTAATTATTTTTTTAAAATTACATTGGGGTGTAATTGCTCCTTTTTTAAAAGAGGTTCAACAACTTTCAAAATTTTTACATCGCAGCTTTTTTTAGCCCTAAGATGGTTCTTGAATAAAATTCTTATTAGCTGGTATGGTTTTTGAAGCATTTTTATTTATTTTAATATTTTTAACAATTAAAGTATTAGTATGATTTTTAAAAATTAAAACATTCGTCTGATTCAAAAATGCAAATCGCTTAATACTTCATAATATTGTTATTGTTAAACTTTTATTTAATGGTACATGTAGGTTGTGTTATGTCAAGTTTATATTATTATGTTTCTAATTATGCCGAAAGCTCCTCGTGTTTGAATAATTGAATGCAACATTGTGGTGTTTTCTTAATTCTGACACTAATACATGCTTAGAAATGTAGTAATAGGTGTAATATCAGTTTAGCCATGGACTACTAGATTTATTATGTTTATCGAAAACAAATAATTTAAATTTAGTGAGATGTCAAATTCATTCCAACATGTGAAATTTTTTTTTCAATTTTTTTCTTTTTGGTTTTGTTTGCATGTTCAGAACTTTTCTTCCATTGAAAAGCTGGATAAGTGAATATTGACCCAAGGGCATAGCAGGATGGTGGATTTGATGGCCATGGATCCCATGGATTTTTTTACCTTTTATTTTATTTTATTGGTTTAAATGCTTTCGTAATTTCGAAGCTTATTTCTTTGATGGGATAAGTGAGAAACGAGGAGATAATATACTACTAATGATTGTGTAAGATCTTAGATTTTAAATATTTGAATAGTCTCATCACTGATAAGTTATGATTGTAAATCTGATAGTGGTTCATTATTTACTTTGCTAGGACTTTATATTGCTTTTCCTGTTTAGTTCTAAAATACTCCATTACGACTTGAGGCAAATTGTTTTGAACTTTGTTTTGCCTTTTAATTTTTGTCGCTAGTAGTCTGTTTGGATTTTCTCAAGTCTGACCTTTTTGTTTATATGATAAAAATGATTTTTTTTAATGGTTTTTTTCTTTAGCCTTCTATGAGGAATCAAGTGTATTTTGATCAAGTGTGAATGTGATAATTGTTGGTATTTAGTTTGATAATTGCAGGTAAATTGAGAGACACACTGGTGCTTTTTATCAAGAAGAATTATGTTGGAATTTTATTATGTTCAATTCCTCTTAATTCATCGTTATTGGTTTTCCTGTCTCTCATAAGTATTTTGATGTTATTTTTCCTATTATAATTTTTTTTAGCTGATTTTTTAAAACGAATTCAAGCAATTGAGTGAGTTTGTCAGAAGTGATTGATCCGCATGAGAAACGTTGGGGTTGTGTTGCTTTTCTCTGTGTGTTGATGATGGTTGGTTGTTTCATTCTAAATTGGATAATTAATCGTCTTCTTCTTTTTTTAATAAGCGAGGATGATTATTATTTTTTACCAAAATATTCAGTTACCATTTCTCGAAGGGTTTGAAATTTGCTGAAGTTAAAAGCTTACCTAGTTATGATACTAATTTAAAAACGTTACTACATGTGTTGTTTTGACGTGGATATCTTTGCTTATATTGAACACAATAACATTTTTATGTCTAAAAGTTGCTATTCAAATTTTAACTCTGAAGTTTGCTAATTTTAATTATGAAGTTTGCGAAACCTTAATTTGCTATTTCAACTTCTTTTTTGTGAAGTTTTAAATTGGAGGGAAATTGTTGTCATTTTGAATTGATTTATTTTAATTGAGTTCTCTAGAGTGTGTGGTACCAAAAAAAAAATTGTTGAAAGTGCCTTTAGGCACAGGTTATCCCAAATATCATTATGAAACAAAATTTAGTTTTTTTTATTTTTAAATTTGAGCTCGAGTCTTATGCAGCATGCTCTACAAAACTAAAGCTAAAACTTTAAATGAAGCTCTTAAGGATCTGGTTCTGACTTATTGATCTCGTTTTAATTTGCACTCTTCTGATAATGGTGCAGGGATTTTGTTAAAGGAGTCAGGTGCTAATTTGGGAGATTAGTCAGATCCTTGATGCAGTTTTAAAGGCTGTATAATCTTGGAACAGTAAGAATTTCTTGTTGAATCCAGAAATTTGTGAAGTATTTGCAGTTGCAGGAGCTTGGTCTTTGTTGTTTGTTTTTCCTACAAGCCAAGATTCAGTTTAATTCATCATCATTACATTCCCTAAGGTTCTTCTATTCTCTTCTCCTTAAACAACTTAGTTTTGTTTCATCCTCATTGATGTATTGGTATTTACTAGTTGTACTACTAATACTACTAGAAGAGAGAGACAATTCTAATCCTAGATCATTGTTAGTGAAACCCAAATCTAGGTTTAGTAATGTTAATGAGCTCGATGATGCTCAACGGTCTGTGTCAAACCTCCGCCTCTAGTTATTCAAACTTAATCAACTGTTAGTTGCTGTTGCCCCAATCGAAACACTTATCACTATGTACATAGCCTTAACTATCTACTGCCACTTGAATTGCCTCCTTAAATATGTTTTTGTGTACTTAGTGATTTTTATATTTGATTGGCTCACGTTGGCTTGTGGAGAACACACAAACTAGACTTGAAGTCTGCTTTGATGAAATGAATTTTTTCATAGACTGTAATGTCTAAAGCCTTTCTTTGATAATGTTGATGAAAGAGAATGAAAAACCGTGGTGGTATTGTCCTTAGGCTAGGTATCACACAAGAGAATGCGAGAGAGAAGCGATGTGGTTGGGTGTAGAATCAATGCTTTGAAATGCACAAAACGTCCTGTATTGGTAAAGTATGAATGGTGTTGTTCATATCTTTTTGTAAATAATCACAACCATTCAAAATATCTGCAACCCATTGTAGGGTTATGCTTTTTCCACTGACAAGACAGCCGTTTGGATCGATCACTTCCCAAACCTACCCAATCTCTCATGTGTGAATGAAATAATTTCCGATAAACCATTTTAAGAGTCCCCTTTTTTTTATTATAGTTTAATGGATATCTTGTGAATTCATTCTATGTCCATTTTGGCTTTCCCCTTGTCCTTAACAGTGCATTCATCTGGAACAATAGAACACCATTATGCTAGTCAATTTTCATTATGCTATTCAATTTTATTATTCGTATGACCCTTGTGCTCATAAACATGTAAGCTGTCCATACATCTTAATGATTGTTAGTTTCCAAGTTCTATCCCTAGGAGATCAGAATATTAGAGCTTTAACAGTGCTTTGAATTGACCCAAGTTGATTTTCTACAACCATTATGGTGTTCTAGAGTTGCAAGGCTATAGAAACTTGCAGCTTTGAACAACTCCGAACATACAAGGAAAAAGATTAGAATTAAAGAAAAAAAAGGAAAAGGGAAACAAACAATGTGACAAGAATAAAATCGGTATATCTGAAAAATTGATTTCGTTCTCTTTATGTGCAGGTTAAGAAGAGAGAATAAATTTTAAGAAAAGCAAAGGTTGCTGTCCTGATATACACAGTGAAAAGAAACTAATCCCCCAGACATAGCTACAGGAAAGCTTAGTAGCATTTTCTGGAACAAAGCTGTCCAAGCAACTAAAGTCCAATGCCAACGAAGCTCAGATCAGTTTTACTTCCAGCAGCTGAGAAACAACATTTAACAACAGAATTCCATACCTGGGAAGCTTTACTTGTCTTGGCGTGGAATACCATAAAGTTGCACACAAATTTTCATGTAAATCTGGATTCTGAGTTTTCTCGTTTACGTGGCTGTTTAGGTTTCCAGAGCTTGTTAACACAATGGCTATTTGATGTCTACACTATAATGTAGTGGTTGAGTGAACCTATATTTGAAATCGTCTTTTGAGCTAGTCTTTTATATATATATATATATATATATTAATTTCAAGAGCACTATGCCTTCATTTGGCTATTTTAGCCACAAAGAAAAAAGAAAGAAAGAAGGTTTTTTAGTCTAATAAAATAAAACATCACATTTAACTCATAATTATTACATTTTTTTCTCTTACTAAAGTCAAAAAAGTTAAAAAGTCCATCCCAAACGAGGCTTTTTAGCTTCAGGTTAAAATAGTCAAAAAATTTCTATATATTATTCATCTTGTTCTTTATCACATTTATCCGGCCACGTCTACTCACACCACCCACACCAAATAGTGATTACTATTTGGTGTGAGTACGGATTTAATCTCCACCTTACACGTCACCATCCGTACGTCCATCGACGGATGAAATTGTCTATCGGGTACAATTTCAACAGGGGGGGCGCTAGTAATATTATATATAGCGCCCCCCCGCCCAGCTGGTGTGACCCCCCTATATAAAGCCTCGACTAACAACATTCACATCGGTGTAAGTTAAGTATTAATCACTAAATAAGCTAAATAATGCCTCGCCAAGCCTCTTTCCGTTTTTATGCCAAGAATGTCTTCCTCACCTACCCACAATGCCCATGCCCAAAAGAACAACTCTTAGAACTCCTCCAATCTCTCCTCCAATTAGCCTGTCAGCCATACTACATACTTGTCGCAAGGAAGCTCCATGAAAATGGAAACCCTCACCTTCATGCCATGGTTCAATGCACGAAGAAGATCCAAACCTCAAACTCGAGATTTTTCGATCTCACTGGAACCAATGGGAGGATCTACCATCCAAATATAGAAAAACTTCACTCGCCAACAGCAAGTCGACAGTATATACAGAAAGGGGGCGAGTTCGTCAATTGAGGAGAATTTTCATCTAAGGGGAGAAGTCCTTCGAAAAATAGAGACGAACTCTGGAAGGGAATACTTGGCGAAGCAGAAACGGAGGAACAATTCTTTGCTCTCTGTAAAGAAAGATGTCCCACCGATTAAGTCACAAAATACCCCCAATTAAAAACATTTTCCAAGGATCATTACAAAAGAGAGAGGCCCCCATATACTAGCCCTTTTAATTCATTTCCTTTCTTAAATGAAGAAGTAAAAAAATGGGCAGAAAATAATATTTTGTTTGTAAGTCGAAATTGCGTTCAGTATGAGTTATGTCAAAATTGTTGTCTCTCCGTTTGGAGGGAAGACGATTTCCTTAGATTAGGGATACACAAAAATAATATAAACAATTTATATACTGACGAAGAACTCTCCTCCTCCTCTGATAACAAGAACCAGAGCAGAGGCCCATCCGCCCAATCTCCCTTTACCTCGAAGGACCCTCAAGAACAGGCAAAATCGCCTGGGCCAGAAGCCTCGGACGACACAATTACTTCTCCGGCAGAATAAGCTTCAAGGACTACGACCAAGACGCTACGATCAACTTCCTCTTTGCGTTCACCAACCTCTGAAATCGACGGACCAGGATCAACATCACTAGATTCATCACCACCTCTGCGTACATCAATCTCTGACAAACTCAGATGACCTCTGCGTTCATGACTGACTGAACCACTTTCCCCAAAACCTCCTAACAACAAATCTCTTCGCCTCTCTGGTAAACCAACAGACTTAGTCCGTGTCAGAATCGGAATGGCCTTCGTTGGAGGACAATGCCAGACATCAACATTATCATTAGTATATTTTTTAGATAACACAATAATAGAAGGGGCCCTCATTTGTGAATCTTCGGGCATGTCACTCGTAGAATACTTCAGATACCCTTTCATTTTACAATACGTAACCCCCTTTTAATATTGGAATTTTCAAGTCGATACTTCACCATCCATGGCACCTGTTTGTCGTTAATTGAACAATAACCATTCCCATAATAGACTAACTCACATTGACAATCTACTGGGAAAATAAACCATGCCTGCAAACTGTCATTACCGTCTAACCTCCGATCATAAACATTTACTTTGACCAATCCACTAGCATTGGGTGCACAAAGGGGGGAAATATTTTATCAATATTTTATCAACCTCAATACTTTTTTGTTTGTATCTTAACCTCAATTGAGAAAATAAATTAGGCAACGCAAGTTCAATACAACTGAAATCACTTGCCGAAACACCTTCAACAACCCCAGTTTTTATATCGTCCACCTCCATTAACCTGAATATTAAAAATAAAAATACATCAAATTACAATTCTAAACAGTTTTAAAGTACATTTGACTCCTTAAAGTAATTTTGCATTCCTTTCCACTAACAGTAGCAGCCACTAAATATATGGCACCCTTTTGAATGCTTCCAACATTTTCCAACAGCGTATCTTTGTAGTCCGTCCAAACATCAACTGGGAAGAACCGGTCTACAACTTCTATCCCGTGACGAACGTAATCACCATTTTTGTCGATTTATTTGGTATACAATGTCCCACCGATTACGTCACAAAATATCCCCAATTAAAAACATTTTCCAGGGATCATTACAAAAGAGAGAGGCCCCCATATACTAGCCCTTTTAATTCATTTCCTTTCTTAAATGAAGAAGTAAAAAAATGGGCAGAAAATAATATTTTGTTTGTAAGTCGAAATTGCGTTCAGTACGAGTTATGTCAAAATTGCTGTCTCTCCGTTTGGAGGGAAGACGATTTCCTTAGATTAGGGATACACAAAAATAATATAAACAATTTATATACTGACGAAGAACTCTCCTCCTCCTTTGATAACAGGAACCAAAGCAGAGGCCCATCCGCCCAATCTCCCTCTACCTCGAAGGACCCTCAAGAACAGGCAAAACCGCCTGGGCCAGAAGCCTCGGACGACACATTTACTTCTCCGGCAGAATAAGCTTCAAGGACTACGACCAAGACGCCGTCTACAACGTGATAGACGACTACAAATACTCGACAGTCCCTACCGAATTAATGAAGAATTTAGTAGGCTACCAGAGAGATTTCCATGTATTTGTTAAGTTCCAACCAGATCTCACTATTAGAGGAGGAATTCCTTGTATTTTATTAACAAATGGGGACAGTAGTTGGTTAGATGCAATGTCCCCAAAAATGAGAGAATGGTTTGATATTAATGTAACCACTATCATGATTAATGAAAAATTTTATTAATTTTACTTATGAAACCACTCAAAGTTTTATTTACTTACTACATTTCCCTTATCATCAACTATTACATCTTGAGTCACATCACTATTTTTTACACTGATGATTACATTTCGTAAAACATTAGAAAATTCTGCTACATCCATAACAACTGATCCTCTACGATCAACTTCCTCTTTGCTAACACCAACCTCTGAAATCGACGGACCAAGATCAGCATCACTAGATTCATCACCACCTCTGCGTACATCAATCTCTGACAAACTCAGACGACCTCTGCGTTCATGAATGACTGAACCACTTTCCCCAAAACCTCCTAACAACAAATCTCTTCGCCTCTCCGGTAAACCAACAGACTTAGTCCGTGTCAGAATCGGAATGGCCTTCGTTGGAGGACAATGCCAGACATCAACATTATCATTAGTATATTTTTTAGATAACACAACAATAGAGGGGGCCCTCATTTGCGAATCTTCGAGCATGTCACTCGTAGAATACTTCAGATACCCCTTCATTTTACAATACGTAACCCCCCCTTTAATATTGGAATTTTCAAGTCGATACTTCACCATCCATGGCACCTGTTTGTCGTTAATTGAACAATAACCATTCCCATAATAGACTAACTCGCATTAACAATCCACTGGGAAACCACGCCTGCAAACTGTCACTACCGTCTAACCTCCGAAAATAAATATTTACTCTGACCAACCCACTAGCATTGGGTGCGCAAAGGGGGGAATATTTTATCAACCTTAATACTTTTTTGTTTGTATCTTAACCTCAATTGAGAAAATAAATTAGGCAACGCAAGTTCAATACAACTGAAATCACTTGCCGAAACACCTTCAACAACCCCAGTTTTTATATCGTCCACCTCCATTAACCTGAACATTAAAAATAAAAATACATCAAATTACAATTCTAAACAGTTTTAAAGTACATTTGACTCCGTAATATAATTTTGTATTCCTTTCCACTAACAGTAGCAGCCACTAAATATATGGCTCCCTTTTGAAAGCTTCCAACATTTCCCAATAGCGTATCTTTGTAGTCCGTCCAAACATCAACTGGGAAGAACCGGTCTACAACTTCTATCCCATGACGAACGTACTCTTTGTCCTTGCCAACAACGAGCTTGAATCTCATTTTCTTTAGCATCCGAAAACGGTCAGACTGGTCAGGATTAACAATCCAGGTCTCAGGATTACCCTCGCCAACTCCAATAAATATCTTGTCAGGTGTAGGGACGGAATCTGACGGACTATTATCACTTATGATGAAAAACAATATGCGGTGGACCACAGCTTCACCTTTAGCATCTTGTCCCAATTGAACATTCCCAATTAATTTTATACCCTTAACCACCTTCGTCCTTAGCATCCTGTCCCAATTGAACATTACCAATGAATTTGATACCCTTAACCACGATCTTGTCTGATTGACGGTCAGATCTCTTATTACCCAACTCAATACCATTAAGTAATCTCGCCACGCCTTTATTATCAAACTTAACGTCCCTTAATTGTTCATCGTATAGCTGTAATTTCCTTACTCCCCTCTTAGTCTTCTTAATAAATCGGGGAATATTCTAAACGAGGTGTCATATGTGTCATAGGCAAGTTACGATCAACATTGGTGTGTGTTCCTGTGATCAAAATTTGTGTTGGTTAGGAACTGTTGTGGCGTTAGACAATGGGCCATTGTGGTGGTATCGAGTTACCAACTTGTCAAATTAAAGTTGTTTAGAACTTCTCTGGTTTTGTAATGTTCTCATCGTGGTAAATTAAGTTATGACCATAGTGGTACTTGATTACATCTCAAAATAATATTAGTCGCAACTCATTGATTATGGTCAATAATTC